AAACCATCTCACAGGTCGCACTGATATGTGGAGTCCTTGATGGTCAAATCCTGCGCCATACAGGCCCTGGGCCCAACACCTTGCCAGCGAACCCATACTGGCCAATCACACTGCGCATAGCAGCCACCGTTGGTTTGTCAGCCGCATGCCGTATGGACCAACACGCTCTAGAAGCTACGACGTGCACGCAAGGTCTTTTACCCCACGAGCATCTTGTGCGTTGCCCTCTTTACCGGTCCATTTGAACTTTGAAAATATCAGCGCCCCTGCCCTGCTTGTCAAAAGCAATTTTTCTCTAACTGAAGCCTTTATTTACCAAGTCCCAGGCTACACTGTTGGGCACTAGACACCATGCGTTGGCACCTATGATTAACCCACTACGCTATGAGATACCATAGCGATAGGATAATGACGTTGACGCATCAAATAGGTCAATCGGGAAAGATATAGCCCAGTGATGGGCCAATATTGGTACATGATTTTCTACGCTACTAGAGGGCAGAGTAAGTGCCTGGGTGGTGCTCTACTGAGACAATGACAAAGGCCCAGATACAAAGCGCCGTTGATTTTCCCCGCTTTCTATTCCCCTCAATGTATCTGGTGCGAGCAGCCCCGTGAAGTTCGCGTATCCTTTGACCCTTGAAACGTCGTATCTCTCTCTCTCTCGCTTACCATTACCCAGCTTTTCATGCTCCATGATAACCCATTGTCATCCCATTGAAGGGCTGGTTTGCGCCAGCAAGCCCGAGTCAATGTTTGCCGCCCAACAGGCCGGCTCAAATGAAACGATCGCCCAAGGGCCCCAAGCCCCAGATCTGATCGGGCAATCGCCATGGTACTGTCTTGCACAGCAAGGTACGGTGATATATAGGAGGTCAGGTTCAGTGACAGCCAGCTATTCGGCGGCAGGGCATTAACCAAAGCAAGCCACGGAAATAAATAAAAAAAGGGGCCGCCACCAAGCTCCACAACTGGTCAAAAAATTTCATATACTTTCTTCGCCTTTTGCTACGGACGTGTGTGCGTATTCTCCCGGTTTACGAGCGAAAAAGAAGCAGCAGACCCTTTTGGCTGCGACCAATGACTCATTTGTTCCCCGACCACGAATGGCAAATCACTAGCCCATCTCTTGCTTTATTGCCCCAGTCAGCCGAGACTTTACAAACGAACATCGACCTTACCGTTCCCCTGTCAACGCCTATAAATACACGCTGCATCGCTCTGTTGTGGGTGTGGTCACAGAGTTGTGCATAAATTTAATAGGTGTGTATTGCTTGTTTTGCGCCATCCTTGATTGTATAGTGACTATTGTGGTCAGGTAGTGTAAACGTCCGCTTGTTCTTGGCATATCATACGAGGCCGCTCATTCTACTCCTAACCTGTTCTTGTGAGAACAATAATCATTGAGCACGCACACCTATATTCGACGTTTCGCAACATTCATAGCCACCATGAAGCTAGTTGGTATTAGCCTGATGACGGTTATAATTGGTCTGGTGGCCCTGGGACAAGCAAATGTCGATGTGAACCACCAAGCACCAAACGTACGCCTTTCCAGGAGACGCGATATCCCGATGACCTCCAACAGTGGCTACCATGTCATCGTACGCCGCCATGCACCCAGACGCCTAACACATTAAACGGGCAAAGCTTTGGCCCTTTCAACAATACCAGGCTGCTGCACTCGCTAAAACGAGGCAGACTTTACTCAACTTTCAATGTATATATCTACGTGTATCAGTTTGGTGTTTTCATTTTCAATATGTTCATGGGCGATTTTGCTCAAATAGGCATCTTTATTTGTCAGACCATTGCACTGTCATGTGGTGTGAAACAATAAACAAGGTAATATTTTTTTAAACTTGCACCAAGAGCAATCAGCATTACATGACCTCGTATGCCAATGAACGTGTGCACAACACTGACCATTCCTGGCATTGGTCGCCGGTAAATAATAGCGCGTAACCCAGGATCGAGATTCGTAGAGGCGTAGTGTGCGGTTTATATGCCATGAGTAGAAAAATTGGGGTTGATTTAGCAAAGTGGAGAAAGATACACGCACAACGACTACTACCTTTTGCTCCAATGTCAACCATTTTTCATTATTCTCTCTCTCTTATCAAGGCTGGATAACGTACGCACAAGAATGTATTTGAACCATGATAAACAAAACAAAATGAAGCCATGGTGATGGCAGTAGCAGCTAAAGCGTTATGCCGGTGAAAGTAACCTTTTTTTTCAAAAAGAAAAACGTGGCAGCAGCGTGTGATCAACGAAATAGTCAAGTATAAAAGAATGGTCCCTGTAAATGCCTTATCCTTGCATGGGGTCATTTTCCTGTTTGAGCGATGTCTTGCCCGCACGCAGCATTTCGTCCACCAGTAACAGGTTGCTAGCAATCACCGCGCACGAGTGGATCTGGTGACGAATCACACGGTAGTTGTCCCAAATACCTTCCACCTTGGGGTCCAACACATCGCCAGTCTTCAGGTCGAGTCCCACCACATGACCGTCGCGGTGCTCATCCTGCAGCAAAACAATCGAATCCTGCGCGTCGAACCCACCATTGCGTGCCAGCACCTTGGGAATAATCAACAGGGCGTCAGCAAAGGCCTGCACGCCCATCTTGGCTCGGCCCTTGGTCTGGGCCTTGTGCTGGATGAGATGGTCAGCGCAGGCAATTTGGAATGCACCGGCACCTGGGACCAGGTAGTCATCCTCGAGGGCGTTCTTGACGGCGCGCAAGCCGTCACGAACCGCATCGTTAATCTGCGCAATGGAGTGCGGGTTAGGGCCCTTGATCAGGATCGTGGCCGATTTGGGGTTCTTGACGTCTTCGACAAACGTATATTTTTCTTCCCCCAAAACATGCTCGTACACCAGGCCAGCGTAGCCTAGCACATCGGGCGTGAGGTCGTCGACCGAATTTTGGGCCACGCCACCGCATGCCAGCTGCAAACGCTCCATATTGCGGCGTTTGGCTCGGCGCAGGGCCAAAATCCCGTGCTTGGCCAGCACGTCCAGCGACAGCGGGTCGATACCCTTTTGGTTAATGATGACAAAGTTTTTGGGACTGTCAGCCTGGCTGCACACCTCCTTCTTAAAGGCTACCAGCTTGCGCAGCTTGTCGTCCACAAAGCGGCGTTCGGAATCCACCAGCTTGTCTCGCTGCTCAGCTGAGCTGTAAAAGAAGCCCGAGTTGACCTCAGTCTTCTCGTATTCCAGAGACACGTTCAGCGTCAAGATGTACGCGTCTTCCACACGCTTGGGCATATCCGGGTGCCGAGCGCCGTGGTCCAACACAAGGCCGCGCACAAACCGCGAATCAGTTTCTGCGCGGTGCATCATCTTCATAATCTCCACCATGTGCAAGTCTGCCGGTTGCCCATCTTGCTTGATAGCCAAAACTGCGTCCACGACTGCCTCGGTCAGCTTATCGGCCAGATGCTCGTCCACTTTGGTGCGAAGCGCCGTGCGGGCTACGGAAATCAGCAGCTCTCGCTCCTTGGTATGGCGAATTGCAAAGGTGTCCAAAAACGCTAGGGCTTCTTGTTTGGCTGCTTCAAAGCCCTCGGTAATGACACGAGGGTGCAAACCTTCGGAGACGTAGCGTTCGGCCTGCTTTAACAGCTCGCCAACCAGCAACACCACGCCAGTAGTACCATCACCGGTAATCTCGTCCTGGGCGCTAGCTGCGCGAGCGATCATGGCTGCGGTCGGGTTTTGGATTTGCTATTATTTGTGATTAGAGAGAAATGTGGCCATAAAGGTAGCAGTAGCAACTAAGGTTAGCTGACTAAGGTACAATTTCTGCTTGACCATGCGCGACAAAAAAGAACAAATGGTAAATAGGAGAAGAAGCTGTCGAGTACTAGGCTTACCATTTCACTCAGCAACACCTTGCCATCCTTGGTGATTTTAATCCCACCGGCCCCGTCAACCAGCCTGAAGCGCACAAGGCGTCATCGTTTTGCATGGCCAAATGTGCCCGGTAGGTCCATTGAGTATTGAGTGCGTAGGTTAGCCAGGGGTTTCGAACAACAATAAAGAAAGCGATCGAATACCTTTAGTGGTAGATATTAGCAGCAGAGGCTAGGCCGTGGTAACTGAGACTTACATTTTGATGGTTCCTTTGGGGCCCAGATTGGACTTGAGTACATCCTGCAAACCAATGGCAGCCGTAATGTTCATCTGAAGGGCCTGACCCCGCCGAGCCACCTCGGACTTGGGGTTGATCATTTGGATTGCCGACGACGCCCTATAGTTTAACCCCCCGTCCGATCCAGAGCATCATCCGTTACAGCGCAGGTATAAACACATGAGATACATTAGTCTGGGGTAATACGTATGACGCTCGGACATTTGGCTTAATGGGCCCACGCAGGCACAATTGCTCGAGCAGGGATCAAGCATACGCCTATTTGGTGAATCTGGTTGGGCTGATCAGCGCCGAATCCTCGGACAAAGGCAACTTACATGTTCGAAATAGTGCAGAGTAAGCTTCTGGGCAAGAGTGATTCAGACTTGAAAGTAAAAAAAGGTGAAAGCTACAACTGCCGCGAATGGAATAAAAAAACCAGCAAAACTGAAGAAATAAGCAAAGCGCTGCCGAGATCAGCTCTGCATTCATGCTGAGGGCAAGTGCACACTGACTGGCGCCGTTTTCAAGTGGACGAGCGTCCATCAACCACTTGGCGGTCCGGCCAGATATGCGGTGGCCAAATCCGTAAAAAAATGCTACCATTCACTCTCAGCGCAAGAGATCCGGGGGGGAGGTACTGTCCATACGTACAAACCTTGGTCCTCATCACTGATATTATCATAATAAAGGGACGAATCTTTACAAAAACCAATGCCAGTAATGCTGAGGTATACCAGAGACACAACGGCAATATTGCAAAAGACACCACAAATTGGAATTGATCACGGTTGAATGCGGTCGTTAACATTATAATGATTTAACAACACTCGAATAGCGCAGTGAAACTCCTATTTCAGTGGCGTCGGTGGTGTAGTGGCAGCATGCACGCTTCCCAAGCGTGCGAGCCGGGTTCGATTCCCGGTCGACGCACTTTTTGCAGCCAACTTTTTTTAGTTGTCAATGCTGTTCAACCCTTTCTCAGAGTAACATCACTGTTTTCGAAGGGGTATAGTTTTCCTTGAGCAAATGGGCCTAAATGTTTTTGGGCACCGCTTGGGAGTTTGTAACTTGCTATGTTTGCTTTCAGCGAGATAGGAAAGAGTGAATGGATGGTTCACTGCCTGGCAGTGGCGACAAGGTTTGCCGGACCAGGTAATGCACCCGCAGGGCCATTCTATCACTGACACCCTCAATCTCCCCATGCTACTTTCGTTGCGATCACTCCTGTGGTCCTCTAAACAGGTCGTGCTCTATAACGCTGCATGACTGCTGAGCATGGCACCCTCACTTTTCCCCCACTGCCGATCCTTTGGCGCTGTGCTTGCCACCCAGAAGTAGATCACCTGGCCATGTCCGCGTTACACACTTTGCCCCATTGGTCCGTCACACTGGCAATCAAAGGTGGCCATGTAGGATGTAAAACAACAGAGCGTGTTGGAGTCAAGTAACGAACAGGCCATCAGAGCTCCATCGCGTCGCTCTTTGTTCCTGGCACGCCCATCGTTGTTAACAGCCGTTGACTCAGTGCGACTTGCCTGGACTTTATCACTGTTTACCACTGTTTCTTCCCCCCCCCCTCATTTCAACGCGCACGTTCGCCACCAGACACAGTGGCGTGCTCGATAAGCAGGCGCTTCGGTGGCCACTCACTTTCCCCCCTTTCTTTTTGCAGCTCATATTTTTCCCTTGAATTTTAGCCTTTGCTCAGGTACACCTTGGTTTGGCCCTGCCGCACGCATCCCCCACGGGTTGGTTTGTTTTGGTTGGGTGAAGAACCGACGCCATACATTTTTACGACGCTTTTCGCCGCAGGGGCCACGGGCTTAGCAAGCGCTTACTTTTAGAGTTTGACCATTCTCGCCGGCATCGGGTGCGATTCAGCCCTCTTTTTCTCGTTGTTCGTAAGCCGTGGGCAGCAACACCGCCAGTGCCGACATCTGCGTTTCATTACGGTTTCTTTCTTGGCCACTCTGCTGCTTGTCACCATGGCGCAGGACTACCGCTTACCGGTCTCTATCCGCATCTACGTGGAGGACGCTCGCCGCTACCATACGGTGCTATGCAAGCCCACGAGTACCGTGCGGTCGGTTCTCAAAGACCTCATACAGCGGGACATCCTCACGGTCGCAACGACTATCAACTCCCCTCTTGCGGCAGCCTTTGGTAACGACCCCGAGGTGGGCCAGTGGGCTCTCTTTGAGCTTATCAATGACTTTGACATTGAGCGCCCGCTGGTTGATTGGGAGCGTGTGGTCGACGTTATCGAGAGCTGGGAAGGCTGCCCCAATAACGCCCTGGTCGTGCGCGCGTACCCGCTTCGGCGGTACCTGAGTGCGCAGGTAAGCAAACTATCCCAGCGGCCTTGATTTCTATTGGGCGGTTGGCCTAAGGGAATGCTTGCCTTTCATAGTATTTTCATAGACTAACCTTGTGCACTCTATCCCTGAATCTTTTACTATTGGCGGCAGGCGGGGTTGCCCGACACGATGCCCGAGCACACGGGATGGCTGTACGCGCAGATGAAAAAGCAAAAGTGGCAAAAGACCAAGTTTGTGTTCCGAGGCGCGGACCTGCTGCACTATAAGGACAACAAGAGCAAGATTGAACTGTCTTACACTTCGCTGGACCACATGCAGCTCTACACGCCGTCCAAGTTTACCCGCAAGGCCCACAACAAGTTTGTGCTGGCCCTCAAGAATGAGTCATCCATCAAGCTTTTCGAAAAGCCCGAGCTCGACTACGTCCGGCTACTGTGTGCTCCTGATCTTCAAGAGCTCTCCGACTGGTTGATAGCCCTACGCTGTGCCAAGAATCGGCTGATGTTTGACCAGCTCTCCCCAGAAGACCAAGCCGAGTTTCAAGCGTCTAATCTCGCAGCAGCGGTAGCTGAAGCCGGTAAACCCGAGACCACCAAACCGGGCAACGCAACACCGAGTCAGAAAAAGCCCACTGGCACTACGTACTATGACCAATTAGCCGCAGGGTCGATAGCAACCAAGCTGAACAAGGCGCCTTCTCAGTCTACCTTGGCCACGTCCGAGACATCCGCCGATGCTCAGTCTGCTAGCGCTAAACCTGCCACGGAGCCTCGCCTAACTGCTACCGAGATCTCCCGTAACGTGTTGAACCAGCACGCCAGCACTGCGTCAGGAATTCGTCAGAGCGATGGCCGGACCACGCCCAGCGAGGGGTCGGCTGGGGATGCCAACAGTCCTTCCCGCACTCGAACAAAGCATATGATTACCGACCAGGACGGCATGTACAAGCCCGGGTCTTTGCTAAGTTATGACTTTCAGCAAATTGCCGAGGCCCACAAGGAGCAGCGAAAGGTGCAGGAAAGCATTGTTAGTACCGCGGGACCTCAGGCGCCACCCAAAGACGCGGCCAACAAAGACATCTTTCTTTCGGGGTCTCTTTTGGCCAGCGCAACCCTGGAACCCGAAGTGCATGCACCCAGCACATTGCATCCATCGCGTGACGCGGATGGCAGTGGCCCAACTCCTGGGGAACCGCTTATTAAACTAAAAACCGCCACCGAGCATACACCCAACCGTTCCCACCCCACCATGGCCCATAACCACCGCAACGGGCCCCTGGTATCACTGCAGCCCAAATCCTCTCAGGAGGACGCCAACGGCAACCTGTTCAAACCAGGGTCGTTGCTGACGCGTGCCAAGTCCCAACGTACGCCCCACGCCCATGGTGAGCGCACTCAAGTGACGTCCCGGGAAGCGGGCGTATCGCGCAGTCGTACCATTCGAGATAATACTTCTTTCTCCGCGGCGGATGTATCTGCAGCCATGCCAGCTCTCCCCAGAGCACCGCTGATCAACCTGGGCACGCCCAGTCAAACCAAGCAAGCATCATTGGACAACCATCTGTTTACGCCCAACTCTTTGCTCACCTCTCGCTCTAGCCGCCCTTCGACGCAGCCATCACAGAGTCAGCGTGATGACGACGACGACGATACGCCATTGATTCATTCCATGAGCCGCGGGTCGTCGTTTTCTCCAGCTGACACCAACTCTTCTGAACAGCACCCAGTTCGTACGCCCAAGACGGCGGGAGTTTTGCCGTCAGCTGGCTACTACACCCGGCCACCGGCGCTCAACGTGCCTATTCCTACCGATTCCTTTGGCGCGGTGAATGCAACCCTTGGGCTGTCGCGTGCCACTTCGCCGTTGTCCCCCACCAGGAACACTCGGCCCAGCAGCCGGTCGTCCTCTGTGTCAACCGTATCCAACAGTGGCGACGTGGCCCGCACCACAGGCTACCGATCTCCGGCTCGAGGTGGAAGCCGCCATGAGAGCCTACGCTCCTCAAATACCTCTGCTGCACCTACTACCAGTCCTAGTAGCCGCCCCACTCACGAACGCGGGGTGGATAGCCATCGGTCTAAATCGCGGCCCCGTGTCCCTACGTCTGTCACCGACAGCGACGAAGACGTTCCGCTGTATATGATCAAAGAAGACCGCAAGCTGGGTCGATCACACACCACGCGAGTTAGTCGGCCCCACCCGCCAACCAGCCACAACGGGTCAACGCCTGGTAGCGGTGGTGGTGACAGCGCCCTAGCCTCCAAGACTACCACCGTACCCTCGTCTCGGCCCCAGCGGTCCCGCTCCCAATCTCACTCTCAACCTCAACTACAATCGCGGTCATCCGCTGCTCCTCTGTTGGGGGCTGCCGCCACGCCACCTGTACCTTCTCTGAACGTAAAGACTCGCCCTGCCAAACAGTCGACCAGGCCACCCTTGGAAGCTGCGCCCACTCCCCAAGACCAGCGTCACCGACATTTGAAGCAAGCCAACTCCAAACCCTTGCTGTCATTTGACTAGTCACTAGCGACGCTCGTTGCTACCATTCGGACTCAACCAGTGCGTTCCATATGGCACACGAGCAGAGACCCACTGGCGCTTCGACTCTGCATATGCACGTGTAGTTTTACTCAAATGGGTGAGTGCTCAATATTGCCATTCTAGGCTCTCGCTCTGTCCCACTACTTGACTTCACTGCCACCTTTGCCAACGCATTTCCGGCACTTTTCCCAGGCCTATGCCGATCAATGCCGCTCATCAGTGTTGCTCTCTTCAGTAGCACTATTTGACTGATGACCCGTGGTTGTAGCAGCGGCTTGGTTTACGGAGCGCCCTCACACTTGCCGAACCCAAAAACTGGGCTTTGGTCTCCCACGGGTCCACAAGTGCCTTGGCATTCTTTTTGGAGTAGTGGCATGATTGCTGTAGCTGTAGCTCACCACCCTCATTCTCTCTATTCACTAAGCGCGTCGTACATCCTTACGGGTTTTTTTTCTTCATGCGGCTGGTTGCTCACTACCGCCTTCTTTTTCTATGATTTTTGCGCGTTGCCATTGCATGGCACCATTCGCCTCACCGAATTAATGCTAGATAACGATTAGAAAAAAAGTTTATTTGCCCCAGCCCCGGTCCAGCTTTCCAATAAAGTGCTAGGTATGCTAGTGGTAGTGCAAGATCACTCCCAATCCCACTGCCTTGCCGACCAAAGCGAATTTCAGAGCGCTCTGCGGTGACCGAGCACCGTCACTAAATTATGCCCTCCAAGCAGGTCTTCCTCATGCTACATGTACATATGCTAACTGCGGGGCGTAATCGTCACCAGCAGCTGCTGATCTTCAAAAGAGCTGACGGGAAAGTCTGTCGACTTCTTATCGGCCAGATTGGGCTCTGCTGATGTAAACGAATAAGCCCGCAAAAAGTTGGCCAAGATAATAAGCATTTCGGCCCACGCCAGCCTTCGGCCGATGCACTGGCGTACGCCAACCATAAATGTGATCATATTGTTCCGATTCTTCTCAGCATCCGGGCCAAGGTAACGCCCTGGGTCAAAGCGTTCAGGGTTCTCAAAGATGGTGGGCGAGTGGGACCACGTGTAGATACTGGTGCCAACGT